TTGGAATATTATAGATATGACTGAAGTTAAAAGTAATAGACACCTTAAACTGGGAGCGGTCACAGTCCTCTCGGGTGAGACTGGCGAACACTGGCATATGCCACGGCCGCTGGGTAAAAAAAAAAAACATGGTTTTTTATCCAGCGGCCGTGGATACACCCACAAATGCGTAGAAAGAACTGTAGGTCGCTTGCGCATAACTATTGTTCTATAGCGACCGAACGTTAGGCTTAGCTCTACCTTCGCCTAAGTCGTCAACTGACCGAAGCGTAAAATGCTTGGTCTTGTTGTTGTTTCGGTGGCCAAGCTGACCGTTTCTTGGCAACACTTATGCGCTCGTCCGTAACACGAATTATATGCAGTTCCTTGTATACTGGCTCGAAAATCGACGCTCAGCTAAAAGTAGCCAATACTGGATACATATGATATCCGAACTTGAATTTACTTAGATACGATTTTTGTTAACTGCCAGCTTAATTGATCAAGTTTAATTTTGGAGTTCATTGCACTAGTGTGGGCTCCGGGGTTTTCGTGGTGGTGGTGGTGGTGGAGCAACTTTATTTATTGTCCGGCAAATTAGTGACCCATGTCGGGATGTCAAAGCCTTGCCTCTCCGGTGCTTAACAGGCCTCTTGGACTGCCCAGAGTTTCGTCGGTGAGCTCGGAGCTCCGCAGAGCGGCTTCCCACCTCGCCGAAAGAACATCGGGAATAATACCTTTCCCTTTAGCCTCGCATTCCCAGAGTGTGTGTGTTAGCGTAGCTATGTCTGTCTGGCAGACCTTACAGAGGTTGGTGATATAAATCACGCGGCATATTCGGTGACATATCAGTAGATTAGAGTAAGTGTTCCTTTGAAGCTGTCGCCAGGTAACTGCTTGGGCTCTGCATAAATTGTCATCAGGTGGAGGGCAGCATCGGCGGGCCAAGTAGACCTTGGTCAGGTCATTGTAATCCGTAAGTCGATCCCGGTCGGCATGCTCCTCAAACAAGGCAGGTTTTGGGAAAAACTTTATTCATGAAAGTCTGAAGGCGTGTACCCTAGCACACGGCGGACCGCGCGCTCCCACAACGAGACAGTGAGACCGAGAGCTACCGCCGCATCGTGGGCCCTTTGGACAGCCCAAAGTTGCGGTTGTATGTCTGGACTTCTTTGAGCGGAGCTCCACTTGCTGGATGCTGCTGCATCGGTGCCGGATACCGAAGGGCGCTAGCAGAGTGTGTAATGTAAAGTGGCTAAAGAGCCACATTTCGTGCACGAGTTGGTTAAATAAACGTCAGGTAAGCTTGTGGACAAAAGCAGGGCTATGGTACGTTTTTGTTTTAAGTAATCTCAAGCAGCTGGCACCGTTTCGGCACCTGGCGGAGCTGATCTCATCAACCGTGAGCCTATTTCCGCGTAACCTTTGAAACCCGTTTTCGCAGCTCACTGAATACAATTAACCTAAGAGATACGCGAGGGAACGAGAACGCCACTGCCATTTTACCAGATACCTAGCTATAAGAATCAGGGTCTCCTCTGGAATGCATTTTTTAAGGTCAACCTCTGAATACAGTGCTATTTTACCCGCCTTCTGTAACGGGCACTTCATTTTCCAACTCCTGGTGAATAGTGAGGGCCGATATCGAAGGCATTCCAGTCTGGCTGGGCGTGACTCTGAGAAAAAGCGACTTCTACCACCGTATTTACGGGAGTGCTACCAGCACTCATCAGCAATGACTTTAACTGGTGAGCGTTGGAGAGACTATGCTTATATAAGTAAACTTAGTTCTAGCAAAGGTTTTGCTAAATTAACCTAATGATTGCTAATGGTCGCGAATATTAGTCAGAATTAGCGATCGCTGATAGCGAAGATATGTTCGCAGTCAGCGGCTACACTAACACCATTTTCATTCAGCCTGAAATGTTCTGATGCAGTTGTTTACAGACGATTTCACTTTCGACACGTGGGGGCTGCCATCGTGGGCAGTTACTTGATTTTGTATGTCTTGGCCTGAAACTAATAGTGTCTTATAAGGTCTGATGCACCAAACCAAACCTTTGATATGCGTATGCGTGTACCGTATTGCTGATTGTTTGGTTGTTACTTAGGGACAATCGCAACAGCCGAGTGTGGCGGCGCCGAAACCACTCCGAAGAATAGTCTTGTTTCTCGATTAACAGTTTCCGGGGTTTAACGTGCCAGAACTAGGATATTGTTATTAGGCGCACCATGGTTGAGGGCTCCGGAAATCTCGACTATAATATGTTCTTCAAAAGCGCGTTTACACTAAAGCGACACGACACCGACACGAGCGTGCCGAAGACACGAGGCAGACACAAACCATCGGCCGACGAGTCGCCCGATGATGAAGTCGCCAGACCCCATGGTCACACTAGGCCGACGACGCCTCAAAAGACAGAATTTCATCGTAGTGTAACTTGATAAGAGATCGAAAGCACCATCGGCAGACCTGTCGTCGGCGTGTCTTCGGGATATCGGCGGCTGAGCGAAAATTTGCCCCATGTCTTTGCTTCAAACGACTATGAAACGGGCGATCTTGGGGAAGTTAACAATACCCTCCCCGAGGCTTCCGCGGCGTTGAGTAGACAGCTCTAGTACCCAACGGAAGTCTTTTCTTCGCTTCCCTATTGTGTGCACCACCCCCGTTCCTCGGTACTATGGATTATGGTGGGGGCTGCGCCTTGTAGCCGAAGAGGGACAATGGTGGAGCGGGGAGCATGACTGAGAATGAGGTGCAGGTTTGCAAGTTCAGTCAGTGTCGCTGCTTGTGTCTCCAACGTGTTGACAGAATTGGCCAACAAAAGACTGTGAGCACGACAAGGTGCTGGCGGGGTATTCGAGAGACAACCGGCGGACTGTTTGTGTCTTTGCAGGATACATAGGCCGGCCACAAGAGAAAAGACACTCCCAAACGCAGCCCGCAGACCAAAATCGGTGTCGTCTCTCGTCTAAACACGCCTTAATGCGCACTGACCTATGCAGAACACAGGTCTCGAGGACTTCGCTTTTATCGAAAGTCTTAATACAGCAGAGTTGCTAAGACCCAGCGCAAACAGGTCAAGGCCTAGCGAGGAGCGTGAGGTGGACGGAAGAGGGTGAAGCATAGCATAGCCACGTATCGTCGAGTATAACTAGGAGGTAGAAAAGCGAAGTAGAGGTGAGGTGGACGTAAAAGGGGAGGGAGGTTGGATCAGGCGAGCGAGTTGGATGGTAAAGGGACGCACTAAAGGCAACTATTAAGTCGACGTTGATTGCTGAAATAGCGCTCCAGAAACCTCGTAGTGTTACTTTTGTGCCAAGGAAGGGCTTATTTTGAAATAAAATCACGTTTTAGTGGTCTACATCGGGTTAGCGCACTTCAAATTGCCCGCCTCAAGAAGTGGACTGATCGGACCGACTCACGACGCCATTGCCGTGCACAACGTTGCCCGGCTTACTGCGCTAGTAGCAGCGACAACGGCCATTGATCAATTTTCGCCATTGGCTCCAAGATTACAGACGTCTTCGGTTCAACTGTGCCCCGCTAGATGGCACCACCTGTCCAGTGCACTTGTGTAAAAAAGAATTAATGATTAAGAAGAAGGTGAAGGAAGTTGATACCGATATGTGGAGAATTGGCATGATTAATAAGTCCGCACTAGAAATCTATCGAACTTTTACGCAGGGAATTGCCAAGGAAAGGATCTATGACAATACTCGGGATAGTGCTCTACTGTTTGAGACGAGGATGGGAGTATTGCGAACCAAGACATATCGGGCCAAATACGATGAGGTAGACACGGTATACATTGCATGTGGAGAGGAGGAGGAAACTGCCGAGCACTTGATGATGTTCTGTAAAGGGCTTCACCTATAGAGTTCAGGATGATGGCGCAGTGTTTTTCAAAGCATTGCGCTTTAGGGACAGGCAGGGCAAAGTAGACTTTAAGCGGGTAGAATTAACTAGAAGGAGGTTATCTGATTGGTGGCTAAAGTCAAGGCACGAGTGAAAATTAAACCTTTCACTGCAAAGTACCAGTCCTCTACCTCACTATTTAGGGAAAAAAAAAAGATAAATCTAGTTTTTGGTTCACTAAGTATTACGGCTTGGTGGCACTAGTCACCGCCCGATCTAAAGGGTACAGCTATATCAATTCATCTATCCATCGAACCTACGCGCAAATTGAATTTTTGAACCACTTGCGTCACTTCCCATAGTAACGTCCAGCGGTTTTTTTTCCATGAATGAAACAGAAACTAACAAGCATTTTATTGCTTCTCTGGATGCACGGAAGGTTCTTTCTTTAGTGCAGCTAGATCGAATACTAGTGATTAAATGTAGGTGGTCCGTCTGATGTATTTGGGATAATTTTGAGAATGTCCTACTGCGGCGCTTGTGTTCTTGTGCATTTACATTAATTTCTCGGTAAGTAGAGCACTGTCGTTGATAATATTGTCGTTTTAGATGTCGTCATATATTGCGCCTTAACTCTGACGTAAATTGTTATTTGACCTTAGTGTCCCTTTAAAGACACGCAGGTGGTAAAATGGAGAGCTCTATAGTGCTGAACCATGTCCATGTTCGGATAGCTTTGCATCACTTCGCATTTCATTGCTTGGGTGACCCCCCCACATTCATTGTACTATTATACTCGTTGGTGTTTACCGTCCCGTAATCCAGGTTTGGTTATGAGGAACGCTGTGTTGGAGTTCCCCGAGAATTTTGACCATCTGGGGTTCCTGAGCGTCCGCCTAAATATAAGCAAACGGGCTTCACTAATTTTTGCCTCCATTCAAAATCGGGCCACTGCAGCTTGGCTTATATCCCGCGGCCTGCGGCTCAGCAGTCGAGTGCCATAACCGTTATATAGACCACCGTGGCAGGTCACCTCCGCTGCACACTGACCTTTATGGTGTTGAGTGAGCTCAATACACGTTTAGAAGTTCTTTTTCGCGCACAAATTTGCCACTGCTGCTGGACGTAAGTGAACGCTGGCGGTCGTACGGCGGCTACGCAGGTCGCGCCGAAGCTATTCGCCGGAAGAGCGCGTACCAGCGTTGCGGGCGCCGCCGTCGGCTGCTCCCTCGGCCCGGGCTTCCTTTCGGCGCAGTGCTCGCCACTTCACCACTCCGCCCTCCGCCCGGACCGCTGACGTCACCAGGAGCGCCAGTAGTTCACCCGGCCGCCGCCAGTCGAAGACGGAGAAAGACGTAAGCACTCCACGTTGCACCGTAACGCAACGGTCAGGTCTGCTTATAGCCAGATTGTTTCGGTGTTTATTTAGCAACTCTTGAGTGTTAGTTAGCGGGCTCTTGGACTGATCCAGGGGACGTGACGTTAGGATGCTCTGACGCAGGAGAAACGAGATCACGTGATCCTCGTGCATAGTCTACAGCATGTGCACAACGCATTGGACGCCAAGCGCCTGCAGCTGTACCCGGACAAGAGTAAGTGCTCCACGCAGTTGTTGTTCACATTTCATATATATATATATATATATATATATATATATATATATATATATATATATATATATATATATATATATATATATATATATATATATATATATATATATATATATATATATATATATATATATTGCCACCAACACAGCGTATCCCCTATAGGAAGGTGCACCGCCAGGGTTGAGATTTGTGCGTTGGCTTTTGTAGCATCATTCCTAGTACTGCCCGATTGTTCTCTTCCGGTCATTTGGGCATGGATTTTCTGCAAGAGTATGGAGCGATAATTAATCTGCGTGATTTGTTCGTCAGTTTTGTTAACTGTGTTTCTCCAGATTCCGACATAGAGAACGAACATCGTGGCGCGGCTTTACGCGTAGTCGATGATTGCGTCACTTTGCACTTTGCAGTAGTATCTTCGTGCTTGTTGAGTGCCCACGGGAGCAGTCGATTACGGGCATTGCCGAAAGTAACCTGACGTTATTGCTTGATCGAGAAGTGGCAATTGCTCGAAGCCTCGTTCAACTGCGAAATGGCCAGACTACGGTTTTAGTTACGAACGTCGGTGGCGAACACAGGCATTTTGCGAAACGCACAACCATAGCTTACTTGGAGGCATTGGATGATTTGGTCGCCTTCCCTTTGATTACGACGATCTCGACTGAGAACAGCTGCGATACTGACGTGACTAGTCGCCTCAACGTCAATCGCCAGTTGGAAGAACCTAAGAGGGCAAGGCTCCTCAGTCTCTTCTCATGCTTTAGTGACTGTTTTGCCCCTACTTCAAAAGTCCGGCAGACTCCTGTAATGAAGCACAGAATAATCACTGAGCCCAACGTGCAACCCGTGCGCCAACATGCTTACCGCGTATCGCAGAAGGAGCAAGATGCTATCTGTCATCAAGTGAAACAAATGCTCGACGACTACGTAATTCAACCATCGACTAGTCCTTGGGCGTCACCAGTTGTTCTGGTTAAAAAGAAAGATGGTTCATTACGATTCTGCGTCGACTACCGCAAACTGAACAAGATAGTGAAAAAAGACGTATATCCTCTTCCTCGTATTGATGACTTCTTGGATCGCCTGCGACACGCCCGTTACTTCTCTTCCACGGATCTCCGTACCGGATATTGGCAGATTGAAATAGATGAACGCGACCGAGAAAAAAGAGCGTTTATTACACCGGACGGTCTCTATGAATTTAAAGTTCTCTCTTTTGGCCTGTGCTCCGCTCCAGCCACGTTCCAACGAATGATGGACACAGTTTTATGTGACTTGAAGTGGTACTCTTGTTTGGTGTATTTAGACGACGTAGTCGTTTTTTCTACGACTTTTGAACAGCACATTGAGCGGCTTGAGGTGGTTCTTTTGGCTATTTGCACTGCCGGCCTCTCTCTGAAACCGGAAAAGTGTTATTTTGGATATGAGGAACTGAAATTCCTTGGCCACATTGTCAGCAGTAGTGAAGTTCGCCCCGATCCTGACAAGGCTATGGCAGTTGCTTTGTTCCCGATACCGAAAACAAAGCATGATGTACGCCGCTTTCTGGGACTTTGTGCTTATTACTGCCGCTTCGTGCCGAACTTTTCGAAAATCGCCGACCCTCTACAACAACTCGTCAAGGATGACGTCGCCTTCGTCTGGGGCCCCAAACTATCCGGTGCTTTCCGCGACCTTCAACAACGCCTACAAACGCCACCGATTCTAGGTCACTTCGACACCGAAGCAGACACAGAAGTCCGCACTAACGCGAGCAACCTTGGCCTCGGAGCTATTCTCGTGCAATATCAAGATGGCGTGGAACGCGTCATCGCCTACGCTAGCCGCACGTTGTCATCTGCGGAGAAGAACTACTCGACGACTGAAAAAGAATGTCTGGCGGCTGTATGGGCCATAACAAAATTCAGGCCCTACTTGTACGGACGCCCCTTCCGAATAGTTAGTGACCACCACTCTTTCTGCTGGCTAGCGAATCTGAAAGATCCCTCGGGCCGTCTCGCAAGATGGAGCCTTCCGTTACAAGAATTCGATATAACGATGCTTTACAAGTTTGGTCAGAAACACACCGACGCTGACTGTCTTTCCCGCGCACCCGTCGAGGTCGCTGAAAAAGACAATGATGAAGACTTCAGCTGCCTTGCTGTTCTCGCATCATTAAACGTGGCTGAGCAGCAACGCGAAGACTTAGAATTACAACCACTGATCGAATACCTTGAGGGATGTCGCCCGCAACCCCCACGTCAGTTCGTGCGTGATTTGTCATCTTTCTGTCTACGCCAAGGCATCCTCTACAAGCGCAACTTTCATTCAACGAAAACTGTTTACCTGCTCATCGTTCCTGCTGCTCTCCGCGATGATATTTTGCGTGCTTGTCATGACGAGCCATCGTAAGGGCATCTTGGCTTCGCGCGTACTCTGGCGCCGATCAAAGATAAATACCACTGGCGGAAACTTACGAAAACCGTCCGGCAGTACGTTAAGACATGCACAGCCTGTCAGCGCCGCAAAACTCCAACGACGTAACCAGCCGGTCTTCTTCAGCCTTTGCGACCCCCTCACGCACCTTTTGAAAAGGTTGGGATGGATCTACTCGGCCCATTTCCGAAGTCTACGGCTGGTAACCGCTGGATTGTGGTTGCAACTGACTACTTGACCAGATACTGCGAAACACAAGCCGCCCAGCGAGCAACTGCTTCCGAGGTGGCTGACTTTTAAGTGCGAATACACTTTATAAGTGACCCCAAACCATCCACCGCCGTCGGCGGCGTCCGAAGTCTTCTCTCTATCTTTAAAGGGAAGAGGACTTGGCGGGCCGCAGCGCGACGCTCTACCGAATAAGCCACGGACGCGACGCTGATATCGGTGTCAGTAACGCGCCTTATACCTCCTCCCCGTTCCCTCGCTCCTCCGCTCTCCTCGCTCGCTGCAGCTGCGCGCGCACCCCTCTCTCTCACGTGCCCGCCTTCTCTCTCACTCTCCCGTCGAGAGCGGGTCGTGCGATGGATGTCCAGGAGGCAACGCTACCATCAACAACGAATGCAGTACAACCGAATGCCAACACTGCACCCGTCGTTGGAGGTGACGGTACCGCGGTGGTTTCGCCGACGTTGGAAGACAAGGTGGCGCTGCGAAGGGCTTGTGAGACCGAACGTAAGCGGGCGAAGCGTGCAGCGGATGCCGAACTGCGTGCTCGCGAGGCCGAGTGCAAGCAGGCGAAGCGTGCAGTGGATGCCGAACTGCGCGCTCGCGAGGCCGAGGACAAGCGGGCGAAGCGTGCAGAGGATGCCGAACTTCGCGCTCGCGAGGCCGAGGACAAGTGGGCGAAGCGTGCAGCGGATGGTGAACTGCGCGCTCGCGAGGCCGAGATGAGGCGTCAGCATCGAGCCGCGAACGCGGCCCAAGAAGCGGAACGACAACGCAAGCGTCAGGCGGAGAAGGGCGATGAAAGCCGGCGTCAAGACGCCGCTCGCAATCGTCAACGGCGAGTGGACGTTCCCGAAGCCGTTCGAGCCATTGAACGTGCCGCGCGGGAGAGGGTGCGAGCCCTGGACTTTGCTCGTCCGGACGCGTCGTGAAGTGTAAATAAATAATACTTCGTATATAATGTTTCTGTGTACAAATGCTTCATGACAAACAACACTTAAATTCATTAATTACACTCTAATCATCACCATCAGTAATAAAACTCCTAGGCATTTCCCCGAGGGTGAACATGGTTAAGTGCGAATGCACGGGGTGATGCTATGAGGGGGAGTAAAGTTAAAATCCGTTGGCATTCGCCAGTGAGTTAACGTAAACTCCCCCGTGTGATCAAATTGCGATTCCCAGGGACCATTACACCATAAAGGCACCATAGTGTGTATAATAAATATAATAGGGTGAATTAATAAATACCCCTCATAGCATCACCCCGTGCATTCGCACTTAACCATGTTCACCCTCGGGGAAATGCTTGGGATTTTTTTCATCAAGAACATCGTTCTCCGCCACGGTGCTCCGGCTGTCGTCATCACAGATCGTGGTACTGCTTTTACGGCACAGTTGCTCTGACTGATCCTGTTGCTGAGGGGCACGACGCACCGAACAGCAACTGCGTACCACCCGCAGACTAACGGGTTAACCGAACGCCTTAACAAAACGATTGCAGATATGCTTTCGATGTATGTCGCCAAGGATCAGAAGAATTGGGATGAAATCCTGCCGTATATAACATTTGCCTACAATACGGCTTTGCAGGAAACCACCGGCTTTGCTCCTTTTCGTCTGGTTTACGGCCGCGACGTCATTACAATGCTTGACACCATGCTGCAACCAACTCTGCCCGACACGATTACCGCGGACACAGATGTATTTGTTCAGCGTGCCGAAGACGCCCGGCAGCTGGCGCGCTTTCGCAATTTTATCGCGGCAAAATCAAGATGCTCGCCGATACAACACCCACCACAGAGCAGTAATATACGAACCCGGTGACCTAGTCTGGGTTTGGACTCCTATACGTCAACGGGGACGCTCTGAAAAATTGTTATGTCGGTACTTCGGACCCTACCGAGTTCTTCATCGCCTCGGTGAAGTGAACTACGAAGTTGTCCAAGCAGACACGTCACACCGTTCTCGCAGACCACGCTCCTCGGATGTGGTTCACGTTTCCAGGATGAAGCCGTACTATTCGCGTTGACTGCAAGTCAAGAAATTTGTGATGTGGCAATAGCCTTCAAAACAATTGTGCATTACTTTCTTGCTTCTTTATTTTTCATCTCGTCGTTTTTCTTTTCAAAGGACACAGACATTTCTGACTACCTTTCGTTGTTTTTTGGAGCCGTGGCATTCATGCGATGCTTCTTTGTTTTCTTTGGGGAGAGGGTAATCCGACGCTTTGTTGGTGGCAGAAGACGAGAGCGAAGAAGTGAGTGGCAGCTGTGGCTTAGTAAACAGTCCTCCACTGCGAGTTCCTGCCTATCATTTCCTCTCGCGACAATATATATATATATATATATATATATATATATATATATATATATATATATATATATATATATATATATATATATATATATATATATACTGGCAGATTGCCTTTGATTTTTATGCAAAAGTTGGAACCAGTACTGGCAACTTCTCGCGATGTGCGCATGCACGGGCACACTTTCCATCTCGCTTTTCGGCAAAAATGGCATGGCATTCGATCGCGCCAGGACAGTCTGTTTTCGACGACGATGATGATGATGACAATATGTCTCGAATTTTTCGGCTTTGCGATACTCTGATTTAGGTGGTTCTGCAAAATGATTCCGAGGCATTTGGTTTGCATTAGACTATTGTGGTGCTTTCTCAGCACATCAGAAACACGCGGAACTGACGCAGAGTGGGTTATGACTAGGTTTACCTGCGGTGAGGGAAGTCGAGTTCTTAATACGCTATAAATCATTGTGTAGCAGGCAGGTATGAGTAAGTGATTCTCAAAAGAGAGAAAAAGAGATAAAAGTGAGCCCCGTAACTGTCTGCATCATAGTGCGACACCTCAACAGTGGCTCAAGAGAGATGGGGGTAAGGAGGGATTAAGAAGGATAGGAACAGAGAGACCCACATACAGAAGCAAAGAGAGGATAGAAAAAAATGGACAAGGTCGAAGGAGTCTGAGGACGGGGCACAACTCAGCGAGAGCATCACGGCGTCAGGAGATGGCGGAGGGCGAGCAGGTCGGCCAGAGCTGCGCTGTCTCTGGAGATCGCGGGGGTGCAACCGCTCGGCACAGAATCCAGCGAGCGATTCCGTAGTCGGTAGGCATTCACTATGCCGCCCGTCGTTCTTCAGAGAAGCGTGGTACCTGCTGCACGCTGGCTAGGAATATTGTGCAATTATTTTTTTACTTGGGCTGACTACGTTGAAGAAGTATGCCAGAAGCTTCTGTAATCTCCGCGATTCCCCCACAGTGGTTATGCGCCACAGTTAATAGGTGATCAAGATCAAGCTTTTGTAAAGAGTTGGGACATTCGATGATCCACTCGGTGCGCATTTCGCAGTGCGTGGATCCGGGTTGTTTCTTTGCCCCGTCTAAAACGCCTTATTGCTCATGTTAACGCGATTCCTTTCCCGATATCGAGCCGGCCTAAAGGCAGTGTGCAAAGGAGTCACAAGCATGGGCGTGGCTCAGTGGTAGCAGACTTGGCTCTGGAGGATCCTGGAGGATTCTGGAGGATCCTGGCTCTGGAGGATCCTGGTCCGAATCCCGTTGTGTCCCTGGTGATTCTTATTTCGTGTGACAGTGGTTACGGGCAATGGCGGTGGCGGCGGACAACTGCGGCTCCGCATTCGACCATTGTTGTGATATCATAACAGCTCTCGCTGTAAAACACATCACCAACCTTAGGTAACTCTGTGTAGTGTGCGAAGCAGCCATGGGTGGACTTTCTGTAAAGAGGTGCCATTTATTCATCGCCGTAGACGTTCATGGTTGCGCACACAGCTGCTTTGCAAGCCTTCGCTTCCGCCTCACTTATGCACATGTATTTATTTATTTATTTATTTATTTGAAATACCTCCAAGGTACTTACAGTACATCTAAGAGGGGAGGGGCAAGTACACGACTTTATGAAACACGGAACAAGGTAAGAAGAGTGAAGGAGAAAAAACATCACAATCAATCGAATACAGTATCAATGTACAATAAGAAAAAAAGTAAAGGAAAGCATGATTAAGCACTGGTTATACAAAATGTACCACTCGATTGATAGAATCACGTGTGAATTCGATAATAAGAAGTGACAGTTTCGCCAAAAGGACGAAGCCATGAATGCGATGGCAACATAATCGATTGTTTCACGAAGCAAGGCTAGAATATTTAGGAGCAATTCTAGTAAGCGTGCACCTGCGAAGTAATCAACTTTGTTGTGGCACTTCCACAGTAGATGCCCACAACGAGGCTCGTGCGTAGTTAATATACGAAGTTGATATACGACGGCGTTGATATACGAAGTTAGGCTGGCAGTCAACTCATTTATATCCGATCTCACGCCACTCTACAAAACGCTGGTGTAAGAGAACACGGCCGCCCCGGGTACACTTTCGGCACCGTCTTTTCGTGTTGAGAGCGCAGCCCGTAGAGGCTCCCGCCTGCGGTGGGGGCACAGAAAGAGGAGGCCAGCGCATCCTTCTTCGCGCGCGCGCACACACACACACACACACACACACACACACACCACACACACACACACACACACACACACACACCACACACACACACACCACACACACAACACACACACACACACACACACACACACGCACACACGCACACGCACACACACACACACACACGCCCTATATATATATATATAATACATATATATATATACATATGTATATATATATATATATATATATATATATATATATATATACTGCCGGAGACTGTCCATATAATAGCTATCTATCGCAATAAAAGTGCAAGGGCACGAGCTGAGAGCACCAAACAAGAAGAAAAGGGGAGAGAAAAAAGCAGAAATTCATTATAATACTTATAATACTATGCTGTGTGTGTGAAAAAGAGAGGAGTATATAAAGCTTTTATTATACATAGCAGCGCAGCGCCGCTAGTGGTCTCCACTCATACCAGAGCACGCGCTGGAGTGGAGCGAGCGCTCTACCACAGATTCACCTAGTGAGTGCTCCGAGTACCAGAGTGGCTACGACGACAGACGAGGGACAAGCCCCGACCATGAGCTGGTTCGCGTCTATAAAGTGGCGCACATGTCGCAGAGCGAGTTTGTGAATCCGCCCAACAGTGTTGTGCTCCTGCCGGGGGAAAACGCCTCGTGCTTGACGTTTCGGTAAACGTAGCAGTGGGAACTCTGCGAACGGGAACCGCCGGTCACCCGTGCGACGCAACCCCTCGTATTTCACACTAGAGTATTACTGAAACGTTCCGTATGCGATTGTCCAATAATTCCGTACGTTTCCGTAAGAATCTTACGGAAATATATGGAAAATATATAGGACACATATGTATTCTGTATGGAAACATTTGGAAATATTGGACGCGCATACGGTACGTTTCAGTAGGAAGCTAGCTGTTACGGTAACCATTTAAAGACGATAGTCTTGGGGACCTTCAACGCAAGAATTTTGGTCTGTCTGTCTGTCTGTCTGTCTGTCTGTCTGTCGTCTGTCTGTCTGTCTGTCTGTCTGTCTTCTGTACATTTGTCTGTTTGTCCACTCCTAATGACACCGGGAACTTGAAACAGTTGACCCCATCCGCAGCGCCCACCAATGTGTCTCAAGGTTTAGCGTTTCATACTTGTGCAATGGTCCATTAAAGAGCAATTATTGCGCATGTCTGGGGCGCCATAACAACACGTATATGTTTTGTATGTGCGCCTTTTATCAGGATATGCATACATAAGTAAGTTTAAGGACCGCAGCGCTTTCCACGCTGCGCTGACCATGCAACGCTTGCACGAAACGGGGAGTGTTTCCAACGCTTTGCTAAAACAAGGTGGTGTGGTGGCACCCTCCCGTCGCCTTGCGTTCTACACCTTATCACCTCAGAGATGGGTGCGCACGCCCGTCTCGGAGCCACGCGCTTTGTTTTCCAAGAAAACTGCTAGATGGCGCTCGTGTCTCACGTGTGACGTGTTTGATGTGTTTGTTTGCCTCCGCTGCACTCTCCAAGGGAGCGCCTCCGGAATACATTCACCGATTTTTCTTGCGCAGAACATCAAATGAATGTTTTTTCACTCTCTCCACACGCAAGACTATCGTCTTTCGACGCATTTGCAGATTACATGCAGATACGGGGCCAAATTTTTTTTTGTCTTTCTTTAGCGCAATGCCATGCTTACCGGTTATAGAGTAGAATCGATGATTGGTAGAACGCGGAGAACGTTGCGATTATCTGCGGCGAGTATTGACATCGCATACATACAACACACACTTCGAGCAGTTGGGAGGCGTTGCGCGAGAGCGGTTTACTGTGTTAGCGGTTTTGCTCGTGCAAACCGCTAATACAGTTTAGTGTCACCGCTAACACAGTTTACTAACACAGTTTACTGTGTTAGCGGTTTGCTCCTGCTATCGTGTTAGCGGTTTGCTGCGTGCACTTGGCGTGCCGCAAAGTAAGTGTCGCTTCTCAGCGTGGGACTGGTTTTACCTCGCAAGCAGTGTACGTAGAGCCTGGGTGGGTTATTATACGCGTACTCTAATTTCGAACTCTAATTAGAGTACGAGAATGAAAGCGTCAGCCCATACGTACAGCAAAGCGAACGACTTCCATAATCCAGCTTTGAGGCTCTTCCGTTGGACTGCGCGACATGCTCTTTATTTTTTGTTATTTTTACAGGAGATTCTCAAATATGTCATACTCCGTTTGCAGAAAGGACGCTACAGAATACGTCGCTCTAATTTTCTGTTTTACTTTTTTTTTCGTTTTTACCAGTGTATAATGGCATGTTTCGGCTATAGTTGTCGGTCTCCTCAATGCCGGTTGGTTGATGTTAGACAGTGCTTAGTATCAGGTTAGATGACCGTGGTGCTGTACCTCATTCTTCTCTCACATTTATCACTGAGTCGCCCAGAAAGTTTCGTTTTATTTATTAGAAGTAACGGTAAACTAGTTCGGGCCGATAGTTATTGTTTCGCAAAAGAACTTGTTGTTGGTCTAGTTGGTATAACATTTCAAAATTAGTTTGATTGGTGATTGATATGTGGGGTTTAACGTCCTAAAACCACATATGATATGAAAGACGCCATGGTGGAGGGCAACGGAAATTTCGACCGGCCATGGGGTTCTTTAACGTGCACCCAAATCTGAGAACACGGGGCCTGCAACATTTCCGCCTCCATCGGAAATGCAGCCCGCGCAGCCGGATTCGATCCCGTGACCTGTGGGTCAGCAGCCGAGTACCTTAGCCACTAGAGCACCATGGCGGGGCCAAAAATTAATTTGAGTGCAAACGCACTACACTTCACGCACACACACGCACCCAGACAGAGTGCTGTGCGTGTTTGATGTGTGTGTGTGTGTATGTGTGTGTGCGTGAATGTGTAGTGTGTTGCGCTCAAATCATTTCTTGAAAAGTTATCGTTTCGTGCTACCGTGCGCGGGCTAGTTTAGATTCTTTTAGTTCAAATAGTCAAACCTCGCAGCTATGTAGCTGTGTTCCGGCAACAAAGATCGCGAGAATTCACGTGCATTTTTTAAAGGCAGAATATGGATGAATCCGTGTGCGAAATATTATATGCCCGCCGCCTATCTCTCATCCGGGCACCTGCGCCGCTTCCTGTGGCGTATATTCTACCACACCGGCGCCATTTTGTTCTGAACTGCCAAGGTGTGTATCTATTGAGCCACATGGCAAGTGGCAGCTCTATATGGGACATTAAACTGAGAGAAATCGCTTCTTCGCGCCGCATCTCGCTTACACAAAGTCGCCTTGGCACACCTGCGCAGACGCGAAAACAGTCAGCGCACAGGGAAGATAAAATAGTCAGCACAGTCCGTGAAGATCACATTACGACGCGGAAATCGTGTCGGCGCTATGGTTTCAGATTGCAAAGATTTCCAACCGGAAATAATAACGCTGAGTTTCCCCGCTGGTTGGTAACTTTTCGACCAAGAGGAACAACTACGAGATCAGTAAAAAAATGTACCTGTAAGTACACCTATAGTGCATGTGTGTGTGTAACGCCAGCTGTTTTGCTTGGAAGCAGTAATTTGCTGGCGGTATGCATATAGCATGCGGCAGCAAATCATTGCCGCACATTGCACGTTTAGTACAAATGTTATGGCGTACTGTTCAATTCAGCTTTATTTCAGGTATACCCTGAGGAGACAGAGGCTAAAGGCTTTGATCGCCTGATGGTGGCCTCTGCCCCCCGGGTTCGGAGCAGGTACACAATACATAAAGGAAACAGTAACGCCAAAAATGAACATATACAAAATTATTTATGTACAAAAAGGAGCGGGAAATGAAACGCTACGACAGTAGTGATTGTACAGTGTACATAGATACCATGCTACGAAACCGTAATGTTTACAGAAAAAAATTACAGAAACGTAGAACACATATGAATTTAGTGAAAGCAATAGAGAGCAACTAAAATATAGTATACAAGCGGGTAATCACCGACTTCAGTGGTAATGAGATGTGTATTGAATTTATGTTTCATTTTTTTTTTTGCGGAATCAGTACAGCATACAATGCCTTTGTATTTGTTCAGGAAATGTGCAATTTGGTAATGCAATGTCTGCTTTCCCGTAATTCGTCCTCACTTTAGGCATCGACGCTGAATATTCCTAAACCTATATTTGTCTGCTTCAGTATAAATGTTTTTTAGAGGACATGATATTGTATACCATACTTCATTAATTTAAAACAAGTATATCTGGTTGGGCTTTAATAGCTGTGCTTATGAACAGTTCTCGTTTGAGCGTAAGTCGCGTATGTCTCCCATATAATTTTCAAATATACGCTGCACCCTTTTTTTTGTATAACTAACAACCTATTGCATTTGGTGTCCGGTGTTGTTCCCCAAACTAGAGTGCAGTATGTCAATTTTGAATACACTAATGAGTAGTAAAGTGTCTTTTTAACCACAGTGGTATCAAGAACTAATTCTTCGAATGCAACCAATGGTTTTGGTTATGTCTGCTGTCGAGTGTGAAATGTGTGTATTCCATGTCTAGTTTTCGTGGAACCAACTCCTAAAAATTTCTGTCCCTTTGTTCGTGTAATTGTGTGGATCCATATTTAGTTATTCTGTGTCACCTACATTCCGCTTATTGGTGGCGCAAATAATATGTACTGTCTTATTCGCATTTAACTGTAACTTATTATGATGAAGCCATATGGTTAATTCTTCTAGATAGGAGTTTGTCATGGTTTCTAACAGGTTCATTTTTTTTTTGCGGTAAAATACGTTGGTGTCATCTGCATACATTACGATGTCTGTTTAATACCTATTCCCGCTATGTCATTGATATATAGCAGGAATAAAGTTGGCCCGAGTATCGAGCCTTGTGGTACTCCAGTTGTGACATTTAATCGACTGGATGAAAAGTTATCTATTTGCTGTAAATTAAAGTAAATAATCTGTCATGAGTTCTAGTGGAATGCCCCTTATCCTGTAGTGTTGAAGCTTCAACAACAGCACTTCATGGTGGACAGAATCGAAGGCCTTTCGTAAGTCTAAAAATAACCCTAGGGTGTAATGCTTTTGCTCAATTACTTCAATAATTTTTTCTTTTACATGAAGCAGTGCCTGCTCTGTGAATTTTTCTTTTAAAAACCCATACTGGGAGCTAAATATGATGTTGTATTTGTGTAGAAACTTCGTCAGTCTCTCGTTTATGGCCTATTCAAACATTTTTGTAAATAGTGGTAAGACTGAAGTACGTCTATAATTGGCAACCTGCTTTTTATTGCGTCCTTTGTACATCGGAGTCACCCTTGCAATCTTTAAGCAATCTGACAATATGCCCTTTTCAAACATCAAGTTCATTATGTAAGCCAGAATCGGTGCTATGGTACTAGCGACATGCTTGACTGGTTCCGCTTTTATTTCATCGTATCCCGCTGAGACGTCATTTGACAGTTTGCTGAGCAGTAGTTCCACCTCTAGCGTAGTAACTGCCTAAAAAATATGTGTTTGATAAAAGATTAATAGCCTGCAATGACAACTCACTATCTACACCGACAAATTATAATGTACGCTGATAATATCGCATTACTTTTTCGAGGTAGCTCTCTCCGTTCGCTGAAAGAACAAGTCATGGCAGAGTTATCACATGTTTCCACATTTCGCCCGCAACAAGCTTGCATTAAATATAGCGAAAA